TACTCTTTCTCGTTCTTCTGTTAGATTTGCCTGCAACAGTAATACTTTCTCCGTATATATACATATATTTTGCAATAATTCATTGCTTGGAGCTTTTATTCTACGAATATCTCATATGCTTGATTTGATAAGATAAGAAAACAAATAGTTGAAAGGTAATGTAGGTGAATTAATGAGCGTACTACGTATGTGGATAATTGCACTAATTATCAATTATTGAAATTCGTAGTATTTTATTTGATTTATTGAATACTTGTAATAGTATACAAAATTATAAATTCGAATAAAATCTTAATAAACAAAAATAATTTATGAAGCGAAAGAAACAAAACTCAAAGAATAGATAAAACATAAATGCACCAAATTTTTAATGAGTAATTTAAAATTTCTTTTAAAAACTGCACACTAATATGAAATATATATGTATATAATACCTGGTTTATTCGTTAATTAGAATTCTGCAAGATATTTAGGACTTTTTATTTACATATGTCTATTTGTATTAGTGTTTAAACAAAGTTAATAGATTCATTTTGTCATAATTGGTTAAATACTTTCTTATAAAGACAAAACAGTGTCAATAATATGTCAGTATATTATCGTTTATGCTTGATATATTTTTAAAGTGAAAAAATTGAGTTTATCAAATTCTAATTTATCAAAAAGGAAACATTGAATATTTTTTGATATTAGTTATATATCTATATAAATTTTTTTCAATCCTGTATAAGCAAATTCAAGATCAAACACATTATCTTAATGAGTCAATAAGTATGGAGCAAAATCCGGGAAAAAGAATGGTAGTGGATCTGATTTTCTCTTTTAAAGATAATTAATGTATTTAATTTAATTAAAAAATATTCAGTATGCATTATTATCAAACATGTATACTAAATTAACGTATAATACTAATGCTTCTTATCTATGCAACTTTGTATTCTTGGCATGCAGTTTTATAAGACAGAAATGTATACGAAGAAAACTTGAAAAAGAATAAAATAATTTTTTATTTTTTTACCAATTTATTATTACTGCTTTTATATAATTTCTATTATAAATTAATCACATTAATTCGAGTATTTTTTTCAACTAATTTCATATCTTAGTTACACTTTCAATTATACTCAATTTTTGTCTCAATTTGAAGTCTTTATTTGAAATATTTAAAAATATGTAGTATTTAATAATACTTTGCCTATATATTAGTAATCAAATTCAAGGAAAACAATATTAAAGTATTTAAATAGAAATTAATTTTTTTATATAAAATCACAAAAATAAATAAATAAATTTAGATCCTTTCATCCATTGATCCTTCATCAGAAATTTGTTTAAATATTGACTTTCTCAAATAAAGCGCAATTCATTATTAATGTTTTTTTGAAGTTCGAATTTAAAAATATTATATACTAGTAAATTAAAAATTTATCAACTTTATTTGTCTAATGTTTATTCATTAATTTTTATTTTGTACTCTAAGTTACGATAATTATAAATCGATGAAATATTTTTTACATAAGCTACGCATTTATAGAAAATTATGTAAACAGTTTAAACTATCATAATGCATTCGATTAAAATATTCTAGGAAAAGAATTTTTACATATTACAAAAATAATATAGGAATTTTAAAAACTGTATTTTTATTTATGTTATCGTGAGTGTTATTGATGAATTCAACAAAGTACTGTTTTGCCTACTTATTTCGTTAAAATTTCAATTGCAACAGTAACATATATTTGAATATATTTAAATTTAATTTATTAAATAAATTATGGGTATCTGTGTAATAAAAATAAGAGAAATTGTAAAAATTCCTATTATAAAAAATTATATGTTTCATAATTTTCAATTGTATCGATAATGAAATAATAATATTGAAATATACTATATATTTTTTTCTGCTAAATAAACGTTAAAAGTAAATTAATTTTGAAAATTTTTTTACATTTGAATACACTTTTCGTGCTCATTAAGTTAAATTAAATTTTATATTAAATTTAATAAGGTTACGTTAAGTAAAAATTTAATTTTCTTAACAACACTACCGTTTGATATTTCAAACATTGAAAATTTACATTTAAAGCATTTACAGTTTCAGTACAAATTGATCATAATTGTTATAATTGTAATAATTATCACTAGGTTTGAAAATTATATTTATATTGCCTAAGTCATGAATAAGTCAACATAAATATTAAATTCTCATTTAATTTTTGCAATTTAATATTATAGTTTTTAATTAAATATTAATTAATAATAATATTTTATTTTCTATTTAACTTCAAATAAGAATCTATTTTTTAATATTTATTTAATGTTTTAAAAACTATGTTTATATCCTTTTATTTTGCTAAATTCATAATGAATTAAAAACATATCGTAAATAAAATAAATAAAAAAAAATAAATAAAAAAAAGATTTTTTTTAAATTCAAGGTAAATTAAAGTTAACTAACAATACATTATTTTTAGAAATGTGTATTTTCCTCTATTCATTTATTATAAAAACCATTTTTGACTACAGTACATATAAATTTAGAAACTTATAAAATTTACTTTTTTATATCCATTAGTTATAATAGAAATATATCAATCTACAGTATTTAAATTTTAATCAATAATAACTATTAATACAAACAATTGTTATATGTTACCATAATATTTTGCATCTTTTCTATATTAAATTTGCAAATATTTGTACAGGATAAATATTTAAATAGATAAGTAAAAGTAATGTAAATTCATAATTTTGAAATTTAAAAATTTAATTTATTGAACTTATTAGAATTTGTAGAATTCAAAAAATATTTATTTATTTTATTAAATATTTTTCTCGTAATTTTTTAAATAATTAAACATTACATTGCAATATTTCGAATTATCATAGATAAAATTAATTTATATAGTAAAGTAATTTTATTTACACAAAATACTAAAACAAATTTATCTATGATAGTTTATTACAAATGGTATCAATATTTTTCATTCTAGTCTCTCCAAGGAAATTACTGTTTTTGTCAAAAGATTTGAGCAAATTTTTTATTATATGAAAGTTAGATTTAATTTTATATTTAATATATATTTACACATTTAAATTACAACTAAGAATATTTACCCATGTGATTTTATAACGGATCTATTAAAAAATTTAATTTGTCTTTACGATCTTATTACTATATACTATATACTACATACTTATTACGCTATTATATTATACTATTACTATATACTTATTACGATATTAGTTAGTTTAGAAATTCTCAATTTAATAATGAATAATTCATTTTCTTTATAGAAGTATTATTATGTACATTATTATTATATATTCAGTGTTATTATATAAAATGTGCATGAAATATTTTAAATGAATTTTGAATTTTGAAATGAATTAAGAAACAGGATTAATTAAATTTTTCGTAGCAACTCTTTAATTTTACTTTATCTTTCCCCGTATAAAGATATTTTCATATTGTAAAATTATAAAAAAATTGTATATGAATTTCTGGTATATATGGTTAAATACGCATGGTGACTTAATTAGTTGTTATGAGTGAGAATAATTTTCCTATCGTTAATACCCAAAAGAGAATGTAGAGATACGACAATATTAATAATCATCCAATCATATTAAAATATAGAAGGTTGGAATGATTACACGTATATAAAACCGTTGTGGAACTGTAATGATCAAAAAAGCAATTCCTGCAAGGCTTTAATATAAAAGAATGAAAGCGATTAAAAACAGTCATTAAAGACATCGCTTGAAGTAATAATAGAAATTAAAGCAGATATTTATGTATAATAAATAATCTTAGCAAATATTCTTCTTTATTATTATTAATTACTTTAAATAGATATAGATTTCTATATGTTTAAATTTAATACTCAGATTAAAAATGGAAATAAATGAATTAAAAAATGTTTAAGTATTACGCTTTGTTATAAAGTATTTCTTTAATACCGTAGTAAATAAATAATCCAATATAATTTTTTATATCAGACGTTATTAAAAAACATTTTCGAAATTTCCTTAACTCATTATACAAAGTATACTTTTAGTAAATCAAAGAATTAAATTATTGATGAAATGGTAACCCTATTTTAATATATATCTTCTATTCTTATTTTTCAGTAGAATGACTATTGTTTAGCTTTTCTAAAAACTTAACACAGACAATATATCTTTGAATTATGAAAAAAAAAAATATAGGATACCAAACTAATTTTTTTTTTAGAATTATTTCGTGTATTTTATATAATTTTATACTTCTAAAATTTGTCTGTAAATGTATCTACTTATCAGAAATTTTATCACTAATTTAAAAAATAGGTTCATTTAATTTTGATTTTAAAGCATGTTTTTTTTTAATTTTAATTTACTATCGAGGAATTTGTAAATAGTAAAAATCAAACAAAATTTATAAAACTTGAAAAGAAAAATTTTTAAAATAAAAAGTATTTATCAAACATGTATAATTTAAAAAAGTTATTTATATCTTCTTTGTAATATATATTGAAGCAAAAAAATCGGGTACAATTATTTGTATATAGGTTTTGAGTAAGATTGTTACTTTCGAAAACTTTTTTTAACTTCATATATAATGTGGATAGATGCGGTTTTTACATAGCAGAATACTTGTTTTTTACTGGACGGATAAAGTCTCAGGGTCGAACGATGAACTCAAACCGGATGAATAGAAAACTAAAAAAGGTGTATTGGAGAAGCAAAAAGCAGTGGATCGATACAGAAGATTTATTTACAAAGTTTTCTCCAAGTATTTAAATTCTTTTCAAATAATCAAATTTTCTGAGCTCTACTTACGTAAATAATTTAATAATTACATATTAGAAATTTTTACATAATATATATATGATCAGTGTTATTTTTGAATTCTGTATTCTTTTAACTAAGTTTTTTTATTATAGATCTTTCATATAATAGATTCGAATTAAATGTACAAAAAGAATATCCTACATTATTTTGGATTAATATAAAAAAGTTTTTACATTATTTTATTTAAATTTAAAATATTAATAAAAAATTTAAATACTTTTAATTTTTTATGAAAACAATATGAAATTAGATAAAATACTATCTATAAAATTAAGACAAATATAAAAAAATATTTTATACTTATTTTTATGATGGAAATATTTTAAAGTATTTAACAAGTTTACTAATTGTTTTATTCACAAGATGCTTGTATTTTTAATGTAATTACTAAAAAGATAGTCTTTTAGTTTTTAATATTTGAATACATTTTTCAATTTTATATTTTGATCATTTAATTTTCATTCTTTTAACTATTTAATCTTTTATTTTTTAAATTTATTAATATTTTATTTTTTAATTGTTTAATTTTCTATTTTTGAAATTTCAATGCGACATTAAACTCCGGATTATATATTCAATACATAATAATCTATATATCAAGTTAAAAAATGATGTGATAATTAATCGAACCGATTATTTGAAATTATTTAATAATTTTTTAATTAAAAGTTTTTATCTAATTTGGAGTTAAAAAATAAAATTAATATATGTACTATTCTTATGTTAAGTTATATAGTAAATAAAATATTATTACTAATTAATAATTAATAATATATATTGACTTTAATAATATTTATATTAATTTATGCATGACTTAAGTAATATAAATATTTATTATAATAATTGTTAATAATGATAAAATTACAATAAGAAGTAAAATAAGTAGATTTCCATTATATTATCTTTAAATATATTAATATAGAGATTATTGTTTGCATTTATTTATGTATCCCTTTCATGTAATCCCTTCGATTACTCATATATTACTAAAAATATTTCAAATCAGTTTGATACCTTTGACTAATGTAGGTGTTTCATGAAGGAAGTGTGAGATCTAGTTAAACTACTGTACCGAAACTCGCAATTTATGGAACTCCGAGTTATTAATTCATTATGTCGTAAAATATTAATGCACAAGTATAATATTTTTATTTATTTATTTATAGAAAATCGATAAAACACACTGATATATTAATGATTGAAAAAATCAATTTTGTTTATTAAAACTGTTATAAATTTATATTACGTTATTATTTTTTGTTCAACATATTAAAAATTATTATATAAAAAAAATATATATATACATATATTTTTATATAGTTCACTAATTTTACTTTATGATGAATAAAATAGATAAAGTATAAAAAATAATTTGCAATATTATCATAATTTTATTCATTCAATTGTAATACTAAGTAATAAATTAAATTAAAGTGTGTAAACATTAATGTAATATTATTTATAAAATATATATATAATATATGCAAATCTAACTTAAATGCAATATGAATGTAAAATATTGAGTTTGAAAAATAGAATTACAATTAAATATACTTTTTATTTTAAAATACATAAAATTTCATTGAAATTAAGTTTATAATTGCTTAGTGTTATAAATCGAAATAATTTTTTAAATTTTATTAATTATACAACTCGTTTGTAATGAATATTATGTACTTCTTTGGATCATTAATCATTAAATTTTGTATAAAATCTTTTTTCGTTTAACATTAATAATATGGTTAAAAGCTGCATTATTTCTGTATATTACTGATAATGTTGTATTTATTTTAATACTACACTATTCAATATTATGTTTTAAAAGATACAAACATTTATATTAAATTTTTTTTGTGTATTGATATTTTCAATTTTACAAACGTTGAATTTAAAAATATTGACAAAGTATCAATCACGCTTGTTAATATTCCATAGCCGCGTTGGAGGTGTGTGTATGTATGGAGGGGGTCTTAAAATAAATAAAAATAAACTTATTTAATCAAAATTAGTTTGTAAATAATTTTATTGTATATATATTTCCATAATTAGCATAAAAATATTTGACATTATTGAATATTTTTACAATTAATAATCATTGAATAGTAGAAATAATGCTGTAATGAGATAGGTAGGACAACACAATAAAAGGTGTTTGAAATTATTTGAGAATCGATTGAATATTCTTGACTTATCTGTAAATAAAATAAGATTGTTTTTATATTAGTGTCGATTATGCTGAATCCTACCAGTATTTAAGTATGTTCATTATTTGTACGTAGTTTTCTGTATTAGGTATCAGCATTCAAAGTAAATATCCGGTCCTGTAGTAGGGAAGCGCGTAGCCTCCATATGAATAGGTCAGGGGAGTATAAGCATTGTAAGCAATTGCTGGGGCTGGGGCGATGTAGCTAGGTGAATAAGCCGGAGCAGCTAAAATGGAGCCGGGTTTAGGTTCTGGAGCCGGAGCTGCTACAGGAGCTGGTGAAGCAGCAGATAAAGTTAAGATAGCAGCTAGTAAGAACTAAAAACAGAAAAAACAAATACAAATATTAGTTTAAAATGATAAATTCATTACTGGTAACCAATTTATTAGTAAAAATGTTTTTAAGCAAAAATTACTCTTAAAAGAAATAATATTTTGAAACGTTGAAAACTTATTGGAATAAATTATATATATTCGTTCTATATTTAATATTTCAACTCAAGAAAATAAAACGAACATTAGACAATAAAACGAAGCTTTTAGAATATTGAATTCTAGAAGACTTTAATGTTATTGTATAATATAAAGTTTGAAAAAGATTTATTTTATCAATATCAAAATGAAAATATAATTTTCAAAAGAATATTTATTTATTATATAACTTAGAAAAATGCCAAAAATCTAATAATAAAAAAAATTCTTAAAATTAAGCAATAAAAATCTATGTGTTATTATCAATATTAAAAAAAAATTAATTATTACTAACCAGCTTGAACATGTTGATCAAGAGTGGAGTATTCTGGTTGCTCGATAAGAGAACAGTATGTCTTGTCTGTGGCAAACTTGTCCTTATATACTTGAAATGCAGTAGTGTGTGTAACATGTATAAAGCAATGCAGACCCTTTAACAACTCCCTCCCTTGGTATCATTTTCCCGCTAAGGCCGGCAATCTGGCACTTATGTACATATTATTGAGATTTTTAGCTTTTTTACCTTTAGTCCAGTCTTCTTCACTCCCACCTTATACACTTCAACGATCGCATAGCCGTAAGAAAGGTAAAGGGAGGGATTGTGGCAATGTTTATATACAAGGACAGATTATGCGTAGAGAGAAATGAACTGAATCCGGATAGATATATCCATTTCTTACAATCTTTTTTCGACTTCGTTAGAAATGGATAAATGATAAATGATTTAACGAAGAACAATATAATCTGAAAAATTCATTATTATATTAATTAATAATACATACTTATAATAATAATTATTTTATCCAATATGTAATTTGTCTATTTATATATGGAAAATAAACAAATACTAGTATAATTATTTAATATCATTTTGTAATATTGCATAATTACTTATATACATAAATATAAATATATTATTATTAAATATTTTTATATAATTATTATATAAATAATATTCAACAATAAATTAATTGTAAAAATAGTTATGCATATTATGTGCAAGAATTGTATTGACAAACATGAAATATTTTATTCTAGAGTGTACATTTATACTCCTAAGATAATATACAATGAACTTGACTGCATCTTCTTTAAAACTGAAACACCCTTTATTTGTTATGTTATGTATTTATATTCAGTAGACAATAAATAATATAATAATTAATATTCTTTTTTATCTGTTTTTATACATACGGATTAATATATCATTCTTAAATTCAACACTGATGAATATAGTAACAAAAACATTAATTATAATCACTAAATTTTAATATTAGAACTAATACTTTAATTATATTTAATCACTTTAATAGTGTTTATATATAAATTATAAATAGCAGAACAAAAATATTTTAATTCATTCATAATAATTCTAATCAATTGAAAATTTAAATTAAAAAAAATATATACATTTTTATATAATTTATATAAAAGAAAAATATACATTAAATTTAAACTTAATTTTCTATAATAATTTTATTTTCAATAACAATTATTCATACTTTAATTAAAAATTAACCATTTAGATTTTAATTAGTCCGATTTTATTTTGATAAGGATAAAATGAAAAACATGAATTAATGCTTCAATTAATTATAAATTCATTGAATAATCACAAAACTGTTATATATATCTTAATTTACTTATTAGATTATTATAAGTAGATTTTATAAAATTTGAAACACATAATTTATATAGTCTATCTAATTCTATAATTGTAAATAATTTTTTATGTGATAGCATTTGAAAATATTATTTTGTTGCATATAATTAATTCTAGAATTTTAAAAAGCTTATGAAAAAAAGATCATTTCAATATTTGTTTCTAATCAAATTGGATTTGATTATTATATTTCATAATTATTATTATCTTTAATTAAAATAATTTCTTTATTCTATTTATTTAATAACAACAATATTTCGAGCGTGTTTATTTATAAATTCAATTTTTATTTTCAGTTGTTCTACTATTACTAAATACATAGACAGTTATTTATTTACTACGAACAAATACGTTAGAATAACTAGCTGTATTTACAGTGTATAAGTTAAAGCATATATGTAGCCTGTCAGAAAATCATTCACTATATTATAAAATAAAAAATTAAGTCTGCATATTTTTGTCTGAATAATAATATAATTACAATATTAATGTATATTTTTTTATAATAGTTGGTTGATAATTAAATTTATTAATTAAATTTATTGATAAATAAATAAATGATAGTTTTAAAGATGACATTAAAACTTACATGACTATATAAAATAATAGTTATCATTTTATAATTTATAGAAAATTCAAGGCATGAATAAAATAATTATTTATAATTTTATTTAACTTCAATATATATTGTAATTATGCGAATAATTTATATTATATAATTATTATATATCTGAATTATATATATATTATTATAATATTTTTTATTTGTACATGACCTAAATATCTATCTTAATTTAATTAATATCGAATAAATTTCAATAAAATTCAGAATATATCGATAATTTACAAAGTAATTAAAAAATCATTTTCAATTAACTATATTATTTTTTATTCATAATATTTGTAAATAAATTAAGTGTATACTAATAATAATCAGATGTTAGAAATTTAAATATAATCATTTATTTAATGAAGGTATCAGGCTTTTTTTTAATTTATATATATATAACAAAAATTGCTGAATGTAACAGATTGTTTAATTATTTAAAAAGTTTAAATTGAACTAATTTTAAATTTAACTAATGCTGTTAGTTTATACAAAATGATTAAATTATTTTTTTTCTATCTTACATGCTCTGACAAGTAAATATATATATAGTATGATGTAATTTTAAAGAAAAAATTTTGTCTTGCTAAATAACAATTGTATGATCATTATATGATCATTAGCAACAAATAATATATTATATTAATTATATTATTGCAAAATATTATCGAATAATTATTACTATTGCTAATTATTATTAAAACACAAAATATGTTAGCCGAAATATACTTTCATAAAACTAAAAGTAACTGAATCTGTAAATTAAATAAGATTTATTTGTTACTAAACAATCACAATTGAAAAAAATACAATTATTAAAAATAACATTTATTATTTATATTAATTTTGCTTTAACAGTACTTTTTATATTAAAATGTTATTTGATTACAATATTTTTTGTTAATATTCACAAGTATACACAATTTATTATATTGAAATAAAATAATGAATTTGATTTTCAAACTATGTATATGTATAATTTATTTTCTAATAAATTTGAAAATTATAGTAGTGTTATTATGGATAAAACTAAAACTTTAATGTTTGACCTAAATGTAATACAAAAGTATTTAATAAAATATGTATTATATATATATATATATATATATATATATATATATATCAAGTACTTTTATATTTAAATCACAATAATGCTAAATAGTACAATATTGAGTGGTTTAGCATGGATTTTTATTCATACTCAGTTATATTACTATCAAATTATTGAATAATTTCATTTGCTAAATTTTAAAAATAATTATAAATACAAATTCAATTATAAAGTATTCTTGATAAAAGAAGTATGTTATTTTATTTGTCTTTAAACTACTAATTATTATGGATTTTAAAATACGAAATTATGGATATACAAGAATATCGAGTAATAAATAAATTGTTAGAAAAAAAGTAGTAAAAAAATATGTCGAAAATATAAATCAAAAACTATGATGGATAATACATAAAGTATAGCTGAAGTATATCTATTAATATCTTCAATATAATAAATTTTTGCTTAAGGTATCTATTCAAATAAATAATTTAATTATATTATAAATAACAGTTAAATAATTTCAATTTAATCCTATGTATGTATTAATTCTGAAATTAATCCTCTATTTTATTTAAGTGTATCTTATTAATTCATTGGCCAATGATCTTTTTTCAGCATTTAATCTTTGTTTATAAAGTATTTTAAAATATGTTTTTTTTACAAGGTGAATTAATTAAGGTTATTCTACCTATATTCTAGTGTATAAAAACCATACACAAAAGTACTTATATTAATAAAAAATTATCGAACTTGTTGGTTATTAATTTTAATAAAGTTTGTTTTTTTAATTTTTAATTTTAATTTTTAATAAATTTAATAAAAAAATAAGTTCTTTCATTATGTAACTATTTTTAATAAATGTTGAAAAATCATACGTTCTGTTATTAGTTCAAAATTGTAGTCATTGCATTACAAACTTTTAGTTACAAATTTATTATTCATAAATTAAAAAATTAAATGTTTGATTTACAAAATAAAAAAAATTATTGTTTGAATTTTTTAATTATTTCTATTAATCTGCAATTATATTTTTCAAAATAAATATGTAATTTATTGTGTACATTTTAACCTAAGGTAGATGCATTAGAATAATTATCAATTCTTAATTTTTTATTTTACTTTATTTTTCATAGTCATTTTTTAATTTTTGTAAATAATATAATAATTATATTTCATACTAGTGCAAAAAAGTATCAGTTAATTTTAGAACGACGTAAAAAAATAAAATAATTATGCCAATTTACAGGGGTATATGATTCTTAGTCATTTACAAAGTGAGTAACTGCGAAGACTGCAATAAGTCGATATACAACAAGAAAGTTGTGCTATATGTACTTTAAATTTGGCTTATGACTACTATAAAGTAATAGAAGTCATCATACGTGACTACCTTGGCTCAGTTGGAATATTTCGATTTTGCATGAAAGCGAGCTAATGGACATAATTACAGAATAATGTGTAATAATATATCACGCAAAATAGGTTTGTTGAGTGCTTTTTCTTAAGAAAAACGTATGATAAAGAATACATGTCATAGAACACCTGATACTTTCACCAATCTAGAGTGGAGTGACTCTAACAAGTAAATTTCGTTAGCTTATAAGCATTTAATGAAAATAAACTATAATAAATATGATTTAAAAATTTACTTAGAAGAGGATCAGTATATGTATGTATATTTCTAAAGTGATAAGAGAAGGCAGTGTTTAACATAAATACTTAATTTTTTATAGTTTTTTTTGTATTGTATATAATTTAGAAATAATATTATCAAATAATATAATCGAATCATTAATTGTCAATATTATAGTTAGTAAAAGTTTTAACAAAATATATTTTTATCAAATACTTAATAAAATTTATATTTTTTTAAATCAACTTTATCAGTGGATTAAATATCAATCATTAATATACATCATTATATTTCAAAATACGAAAGCAAAGTTTCTATTACAGGTTTGAATTTTATATTACAATTTGATTATTGATTTATATAAGCAATGAAAAATGACTAGTAAAAAGTCTTTTTTCAATACATAATAATTGCATGTACGTAGATAGTGTAAATAGTA